CACCACTCTTCCAGTGACCTTCACTGGGCTTTTTCTCCATGTTTATTTACTTGGCACTGTTATGGTATGTTTCCATTTATAAAATTTCAAAAAATTAAAACGTCTATCTTTAAAAGTGGCAACTGAGTAAATAAAGCACAAACATAAAAGACAGTAAACATGAATGGAAGAAAATCAGATGTGAAACAGCGACGTAGAACAGGAAGTTACACAGATGACTACCTGATTTGCTTTTGTCAGCCAACGCTTTTTTTCCTCACATCCACAGTTAGCCTCATAAGCAACCTGGCCAGGTGCAAATGCCCTATGCTTTTTCTTTTCTCCCTGAATACATTTTTTATTAACAATCTCTTTCTTCCTGTTTCTGTAACAAATACAGCTCTTCTCAACCTAGAAGACTCTCTAAGGCCTAGTGAAACTAAGCATGAATCCATACTGAGGAATTTGTGAAGCAAGCAATGGAAAAAAAGTACCTAGTAACTAGTCTGCTTGGGACTGAAACATTCTGAAGGAGAAAGATTTGGTTAGAATCTGAACATCCCGTATTTTCAAATGAAGGGAAAACAGGATAGCCGAGACGTTACTTCAGTCATCTCTGAATAGAAGAGGATAAAAACTGTTGCCGACATTCGCATTTGTGCACCACGTCCCAAGAACACCTGGCTCAGGGGATGCTCGCAGAAGTAATGCCCACGTTCATCTTCCTGAGCAGGGGGAAGAGAAGCAGCAAAATATGGGGAATTTTCAAGTATTCTTTAAAAACCCTGACAAATTAAAACAAAATAAAAAAAAAAGGATGAGAGCACGCTGTGTAAATGGTCGTCCCTTTCCATCATGAATACACTAAACAGAGAGGAGAAATACATTTTGTGAAAAGGTATTTTAAAACAAACTTAACAGGGCAAGTCCCCGGGTGCAACTTAATGACTTCACACTGAACCATCAATGTGATTTTGCCTTTCCTCCAAAAGATGAGGCCATCACTTCACCTAGCACGATACAATGGTGAGAAACACCATGCGCTACCCAGGACTTGTCTTCTCCAAGGCGTTCATTGGCAATAGTGGACATAACACTGCTGCACCACAGCCTGGTAGAAATATCCCCAAGCCAATTTCCCAGCCAGCTGTATATTACAGAACATCCATCATTGCCTTTCAAACTACGGAAAGAAATGCCACAGTAAGCTGGAGCCGTTGATATTTATGAATGCAAAGAAATAAAGACTTCCTCACATCATAAGTTCTTTTTAATTAGTTTTATAACCACATATACACTTAAAATGTAACCCTCATCGTATCACATTGATAAAACAGCATGCACACGAAGTGCTTTATAGAAGTTGTACAGTATACATTCTGCTTGGAAGCACCAGTGCCTATTAACGGCGACTAAGGCTCTCTCACGTCCTTGCGCGCGGATTCACTCATTTCGAGCCGTATTTGTATGTGAAAGTTCAACGCACTGGATGGAGAAGCAGCCTGAGCCACCGTGCGCTCCCACCTAAATATACCTGGGCAAATACAGGCAAGCTATTATTTACGGTAGATAAACAGTAAATAATTATAATATCCAATAACTGTCGGATTAATTCAGATTAGCAGTAGAATTTTGTCACTTCAGACATACCATGGTTCCCTAAGGAGTTTTGTCCACAAGTCCCTTTTACTAAAGTGTCTTTGTGGGCAAATTCTTAGAGAATAATTTTAAAAAAATCAGAAAATAAATGGGCTATGGAATCAAATTTAAGACATTAAACATATTCAATTTTTCTAGTGAAGCCTATCCATTACTTATTGTTCTCATTACGCTAGAAAATCAAAGGAGCACCTAAAGCTGCTCATGTCCGCTAGTACCTCCAAGGAAAGGATGTCTGTGAAGACTTCCAACGTATTGGGGTGGTGCTCAGCTCTCTCAGGATTAGGCCTTTAGCAACCTTAGATCACAGAGAGAGGGACTTCCACAAAGTATTGAGGATTTCTGTCCTCAGACTGGCCTGATACTCTTCCATTGAGATCCTCAGACTTCGAGAGCTTGCAGCAACGTCGAGCTGTAAAAATCCTTTCCAGAGCTGACTTTGAGAGCTGTGGTTTTCTGCACTCACAGCTGGGCTCACAGCATTATAGAAAGGAAAAAGCATGAGAGATGGCTATGGAAATGAACATTAATGGTTACTGTTAACATGATTTAGCTTCAGTTAGAATGAACAACAAGACGACATTTATACATGAAAAATTAGCTTTTATTACAAATGTTTAGTAATAAGTACTGATTTTTCAACTTTTTTTTTTTTTTACTTACTAAACCTAAACATACAAAGTCAGAAGCAAACAAGAAATTGCTTGGTTAAAATCTTACTGAAGGTTAACTTGTCAGTAGTTCTATCAGATTTCCTGCAAGGCTTGCTTTTAAAATGTCTTGTTTATTGTGCTATCAGCTTTCCTTTACAGAGATGCTCATCCTCCAGTAGAGATGTGTAGTCATCAACATGGATGATTTGATTCATTTATATAAACAGAAGAAAGAAAAAATAAGTTGCATCCATCTCTCAATATAAACCCTATTTCTATACGTTACACTTGCACATAATTTAGAGCCTGTTACACTGGCTTCTGAAGCCAAAGACAGCTCTTACGCTCACTGCAGCATGCACCATATCAGAAGGGCAACATTACTAATTTCATATTAATTGGTGAAAGTATTCTTTGGTCACAAACATCCTATATCTACCCAGTTTACAGTATCTCAGAAACTATTTTTCACCCATTTTAAGTAGCTTGTTTACATTTTTATTTTACTCCATGGGTTTCAGATTTTTCTCCTGCATGTATAATCCGTACCTGTGTGCATGCATGTGCACAAAATTTATTTGAGTTGTTTCTATGCAGGCAGATCAGGAGTGAAGAAAGAATGTCCTTTATCTTCTGATACCTTTCAGATGTCAGACTGCAACAGCTCTAGTCTAAAATGGCCCTGTACTGGAGTCCCTCTGGATAGGCAATTCATTTTTAGTGCACTGCATTACTAAAGTTTTCAGAATACACAAAATATGAACATTGTGATCATTTTATTACATTGTCTATTACACGGTAAAGCCACATTAGTCACAATCAAAGTCTTAGTTTTGGTGGGAAAAGTTTAAGAGAGTAAGGGAAAAGAACGCTGCTAATGATGCAAGCGAGAGTGCCTGGACAGTGACACTTTGCTTAAAAGGCACACCAAGAAAAGGCAAGCTAGGTTCCTCTCCTGATGGTTTAAATCTGGTTTATATTTTTTCTTATACATATAGCTATGCATATATATATGTGTGTGTATACCTACACAAATATATGTATGCACACACACACCTTTGAGTTTTTGAGAACAGAAAGTTCAAGAATTAGAAATTAATTTTAAATAAATGAGAACCACACTAATAGGGGGAGGTTGGTGCTGATATCTTTTGCTGCATTATGATTATAATCTAATGACAGAGTGATACGATTATACCATTTTTTACTTTACGTCATTTCATTGTATAAATGTGAGGCGTAAGACCACCAGGTGCATTTATCTTGCCTCAAGTAATTTTCATGGATCTTCTGTGTTCTTGCTTTTTCATAAGGGATGGTCATTACTTTAAGAAACATGAAGAAAGTTCAGGGTAAAGTTGTTCTAACAATCACAATTAAAATTTATTTGTCTCTAGGGTTTACATGTCAGAGCGTGGCGTGCACGCAAACACACACACACACACACAGAATGACAATGACAACAATGGCTGCATACAGCTCAAACCCAAGAACTGGTCCCAGCATGGCTGCAGTATGCTGATCTTGTAAAAACTTCTGTTTTCCTTTTGCATAAGCTTTATGATATAATGCACCGTTTCCAAAATCTGCACTGTTCCATCTAAATGGTCCACATATGATGACGGTAAATGTTAAGAGGTATGAGATGATTACTAAATTCCAGAAAACATTTAACAGAAGATGTCCATACAGTAGTCACCATTAAAAGTTTAACAGCTGAAGGCTGAATGTAAAGATCTTTTCAGCTGTATTATTTAAAGAAGTATGACTATCACAGTAAAGTTATTTACACAAAAGGCAACAAAGTAAAGATATCAATAGAGAACACAGTAGATTGTTCAGAAAGTGGATCACATTTTCTGCTAAGTCTGAAATATTTCTTGCAATATTGTAAATTCTACCTACCAGATATCCCACAACATAAACCAGACAGAAGAACTTGTAAAAAGATATTAAGAGCTTGGTCCTGCATTTCTGATTCCCCAAAATCTACCACAGAAGACCACAGGAATTTTGAATGTTTAGTGATTGCAGGACAAAACCCTCAGAGGACTGCAAAATGTTGCTTCTTTTCAGTACTTATTATATATAAAGTATTCAGTTGATTTTCTTTGGCTTTTAAATTACTATTCCCTTCATATCTATAACGTGAAACAAAATCAAACCAAACCCAAACCACTAATAACTCCCCTCTCCCCTTAAAATGGTGATAAAAAACTAAATGAACCAAAAAGCGTATCTAGAAAGTGTAGCTGTTACTTCATTATAAAACTACGGCGCAAAATAGAGATTTATACTGGTCAGAATTGCAATAGCAATTGGAAATTTACACTGAAGGAGTGACTGCAAGTATTGCTTCTCCTGAATAACAGAAAAATCAAAACTGATTAGGCACTTGTTTTCTTGTTTAATGAGAGATCATTCAGTGTATGTAAAAATGATAGGAATACTCTTTAAAAGAATGCTCTGTATATTGCTCAACTACAGCCACAGTCCCTGGTTCAGGAGAGCAGAAGAACATGTGCCTATTACTTATTTTATGCTTACATCCTACTGGTATGAATGGGCTGGATACACATTCAAGTGCTGTCCTGAACTGGGATGCTTGCTGAAATTAGAGTTTTAAAAGATAATACAGTGGTGAGCTTCTTTTCATTATACTACAACTCCAATTTTATCTAATCTGGCTCTGCTCTCCACAATATTATCCTAGTACTTCCTAATAAAAAAGAAAACAGGCATAAAATAAATAGGATAACCAAAGATTACATAATAAATATGCTACTAAGTGGGAGGAAAATATATTGCAACATAAGGCTCTGTAGTGTTGCACAATCAAGAAATCGTTTCAGGTGCTCCAAAACACAACTCCTAATGTACAACACCAAGTTACCACTATACACCTGAAAAAGATTGGGAAGTAACAGATTAAATTTCTATTACATTAAACATTTGAAAATATAAACAAGTGGTAATGTGTTTCACTGCCTTTGCAGAACAGCATATGTATGTTCTTTCACTGCTCCAATTGTCATTGCTTGTGAAGGAAAATTCAAAAGATTGGGTTTTTGAAAACTCTCATAATCGAATTCCTTCAGACTTACAAAGTTACCAGTGTCCATGCTGACTCATGGTATCATCTCTGAAAGTAAAACAAACTCAAAAATTTTGTTGCCTCCGTTTCTTTGCATCCATCGCATCTAGGATAGGTTGCCTCTTTGCAGTGTACCTCTGACGAAGCTCCTCAATTTCTCGTTCCATCATAGGGTCCAAAGCCTTTAATCGCATCTGTAATTCTTCTAAACTCAGATTCTTTAACTGTAAAACAACCACCAAACAAACAAACAAAAACCCAAAACATAAAAAAGATTAAAAACTATTTATAACAAAAATGAAAACCATCACCTTTCATAATCCTTTAGTTTACAGTTGCAATGTTTTTTATTGTTGGGTTTTTTTGATTTTTTTTTTGTTGTTGTTTTGTTGTGGTGTTTTTTTGTTTGTTTTTTTTAAACGCACTTTGAGCATATGTATACACATATATAACTGTTTATATAACCAAAAGCCTTTAGTATGCTCCACAGTAAATAATTTAACAACATATGAAAATACAAACACACACAGTACATTTAATTAAAAAAAAAAAATCACTTTGCAAATAAATATAGGGCTGGAGTTTAACTCATTAGGCTGGAAAAAAGCATGCCACAGTATACACCATTATATTCGTGTATATAAATTATATTGCTTAATCAAATACTTCTAACTGAACTTCAGTCTCTTGTAGAAACCTGAAAAATAGGGACAGCTGCTGTAAGTAATAGTCTGACAGATATTTAGAGGTACTTTCTGATAAGAATGACAAGGCACCCGTCTTCCTCAACAGATTGCTGCCAGAACTAGTCAAAGCAAATTGCCAACAGAGTGTTTAAATAATACATGAAAAAATTTCCTGAATTCATGGGAGGGAGTTACCTTTGACCAAGCTCTTCTCTTTCTAAAAATATTTTCTCACAAATGTTAAACAGTTCATTACATTGCATTCATTAAGAGCGATGGGTCATATAACAAGTAAATCGCTTCACTGGCTTGCTGGCTGCTGCGAGTAAGTTGGAGTCTTGTCAGGTACTGAGGCACGTCAGGCACTACTGCCCCAGCTGCTCTTGCAGGGAAGGATCCACACTGGAAATACGTTCCTTTGGCTGGCCTATGTTTTTTTTTTTTCCCCTTGATGAAGTCTAGTGCCTCTCTGCATTTTCTCTCTTGTCAGAATTGCCTATGTGCCAATTACTCTTCACCGAGTGTGAAAAACATCAACAAATTTCAAATAGCACAAATAATTTCATCCCAGTAAAGCAATAATCTATATTTTGTTTGCAAATATTCTGACATTGCAAACAAGCACACCACCTAGCTCAACAGAAAAAAAAAAAGAAAATATTTTCTGAATCATCCTACTAATGAGTCAATACTTTGTTCATGAATCTAGGGCAGTCTTCCATCAATACAGTCTGATCTGTTTTCCCTGAGGAATGAAATACTACTTTTCATCTTTATTTTTATCAGCATCTGAGGTATATAAATTAGTAACACGTATTGCTACATACAGTCCAGACCCCAGCCTCATGACTTCTACTAATAGACTACATCGTACATAGTAAACAAATAACTTAAAGTCTTAATAAAGAGGGAGCGAGATCAGAAATTCATAGAAGAGCATATAGAAAAAGATGCACATTTTCATGCAATGCCATTTTAACAATGAGATTCCTAATGAAGATGAGAATTAAAACCCAGATGTCAAAATATCTTCCAGGACCAAAGATCCTTAGACTTCTATGAGCTTCAGAGACCTCAGATGCTCTCAGTAGCTCATCAGTAATGTCTGTCACTCCCAAGGACAAATGACACCTTTTGTTTCTTATGAGGGAAGAATTAAATATCATCTAGTTTACTGTATTTCTCCCATTTAATATATATTCCCCTGTTTAACTGATCCCAACACAGCACAGATGAGAGGAGCAATAACCCCATGGTTTTTAGCACGTGTGAGAGGAGAAACATATTTGGGGCTCCATGGACCAGCAAATGGATTAAGGAAGGCACCGTGAATAATCTCGTGTGTGAGTGTTTTGTGAGAACTGCCACTGAAGGAGTCTCCTACCCGCTCTGGGCCAGCCTGGGCAGCCATTTATTCCCTCTCATCACCACTGTAGACATCAAGCTTACACTGCATAGAACAGACTCCAACTTACGCGATTGCATAATTATTCTGTACTGAAAAATGTTTTTTTTATAAATTGTCAGAGAAGAATGTGATGGGCGAGTTTTTATTTAAACTTCAATCAAGAAACAGAGCCAGCAAACAGAATTAAATATTCTTTAAAGATCACAGACAGCTGGGCTGGAAATTAAAATATAAAAAGAATGAATTTTTAAATCCAGGGAATAAGAATCGTTCAGAACGATCGCAACCACATCACCCAGGGGACCCAGGGAGCCGCAGTACTCCTCTGTATGAATGGCTGATGCTCGGGACATTCAAAGGAAGTAAATAACAGAAAACAGGAACATTAGGAAATGGAAAATAGAGTTATGAAGGTCTCATCTATCTGGCATCAGATGCTGGACTAGGCAGGAACAGTCAGAGAGCTCTATGTACTATAGAAAACCACTTAAGCACATCTAAAAGCCACAGCGACTCTAGGATGTGTGTGTGTCCATGGATGTATGTGTCTCCTTGGTAAATTTCAAAATATTTTTTCTTGACTACTGCCTATGCTATAGATATTACCTCACGAAGCCCAAAGCCTGCAAAAGCCTAAATGCCGAATGCAACAGCAAATATATCAAATGAGATGCGCAGAAATAATTCAAACAAGATATTTGATTATTCCTATGTAATTTATCCCCTGCACGATAAATACTTTGATTCAAAATCTTAAAGTGATAGAGCGCATGAGTCTCACTTTCACTTGCTAACAGTTCTCAAGTTAAACTACCATAAATAATTCCCCACAACTAGGGCTACCAGCATTAATGGGAAAAGAGAGGAGAGCATTCAGGTGTGTAAGCTACAGGAATTCAAAAAGGCTTTAAATTATATTTTGATAGCTTTTTAAAAGCTGTAAACTGTAGCAGTTCAGTAATCAGGATAGTATTTGTCTGACAATGATAGATAGTTCAATTTCTGCCACTCCAAATGACGGAATCAATCATGTCCTTCTGGAGATCAAACACCCACAATCACACAACAGACAGCAATTCATGTCAAGATGGGCCACCTCCACGACAGAGGTCTTCAGTGACTGGAGTTCCTGGTAAAAGCATTTGCCTTCACTGGAACCCTTCATATCACCAGGTAACCAGTGGGTTTGGGAAAGCAACAGTCCGACCTCCAACTTATAATGCCATGGATCTATCAGTTACGTACAATAACACGTAATATTCAGAAAGTGTATGAATCTGTTTTACACACACATATAGTCTTTTAGAGTGGGTACGCATACTCAGTTTCCCAGTAGAAAAATTAGGTGTTTACAGAAAAAAAAACAACCTTTTCTCCTGAAAGGTATATTTCTTAACCTAATCACTAAAAGGAGTTACAATGTATAAGGGAAGCCAGGAAAAAAACAAGGCAAAAACATCTCCAGAGCCAGATAACACTGAATAATTTCTTCTACAACCCAATGGATTCTCAAGACACAGTTGCACCCAAAGAAGCCACACTGAAATTCTCGACTCTGCTTTGCTAGAGCAAAGGAAGCTGACTTCGCCTACAAAGAGGCCAGCTAACAGCCATCCTGGCGGGGCGAGCTCCCAGTGGTGCAAGCTGAGCGCCAGCAGCTCTTGCCTCTGCCTCCTCCTCTCCCTGATGTTGGGGAAATCCTGGCGGAAGAAAGGTACCCGTGCAGAAAGGAGCCGTGCATCAACCCAGGCTTCCAGTGGCAGAAGGTCCTTTCAGCAGCACCACCTTGAGCTGGGATGGGCAGCACAGAACCAAAAGCATAACTAAACCTTTTAACTCAGCTTCCTCTGGTCAATACTAGTTTCAGGTCGATTGCGTTTCTTAACGCGTCTTCGAACAGTGACACACAAGGAATTCTTCCTCACGTACTGATGTGGTCGTCTCTCAGAACCAAACTTCAGCAAGGGAAGTGCAACAATTTTTACTTTTTTGGTCTTTCAGTCTAACTTCTTGTATCCCAGGTAGATCAGCTTCATTTGGGTCAGTATTTTCAGCAAACCAAAGAAGAATTACTTGCAGTCAATACTACTTCTGCCTGCAGGATGACCCACACTGTACCTTACATATTTTGTTCGCAACCCTGGTCAAATCATACTGACGAAAATTCAGCCCAAAATGGGCACTTGGAAAATATATATGCGTTCCTGGCCACAGACCTGAGTTCTGTAGCAGTAGGCTGAAAAGGAAGGAGATAAAGTACAACCAAAAATGGACCTTCAGAAGTCATCAAGTCAAAGGGTGCAATGCAAATCCTGACTACCAGCTTCCGCCTGTGTCCAGCACAGGAGTCAGGAGGAAGGACATGCATCTGAGATACTCAGTGGTGCTTGCGGTCCATGGATTTAGGCGAAGGGGTCTGGAAAAGAGTCTGGAACTCATTAGCCACACTTGGCCAGCACACATCCATAGCCATCCAAACTTTTCAGGGGGCGAAAGCCAAAGTTTTGGTGGATGTAGCACACTATAATCTTAATCCACCCTTGACAGCTAACAGAGGTAAATAAAAGCTCTAGGCCTGTGATGTTTTCAATATGATAAAATTAGATTTCATTAGTAATTCCATAATGCATGAGTTACCATTGCAAACCTCCAGTCTATCAAACTAAATTATGGAATACTGCCATTAAGATGGTGCAACAAAAACAAGCAAATGTATTTTCAGGGTTTAAATTGTTAAAGAAAATAGATATTCAATCAAAAAATAATCTGTATCAAGTTTGTTGTGTTTACTTGAAAAAACAAATTCTTCCTAGCAACTGCTTAAATGAATCTTACAGATGCAACACGCCTTATTAGAGACCTTTGATTAAAAAAATATGGATTGTTAATACTGTATTCTGAGTCATCTGTTTTCCCATCTGCTAGTAATTCCTACAATATGAACTATCAACAGAATGGCTAACAACAATAATTTTCTAAGGCAATTGCAGAAGTGGGTTGCCTATAGCACTTTCTAAAATTTAACCAGTGCATGCCTTGGATTGTTTTGTGTTGTTAGTGGCCTCAGGTAAGAGAAACTCTTTCTCTCCAGCTGTTCCCTTCCCTCTGCTGAGCAGAATTTTCTTTTCTC